CGAATATTTATATAAACCGGAAGAGATTGCTAAGAGTTTGAAAATCGATATCAAAACTGTCTTCCATCATTTGGAGAGATTTGGGTTATAAAAAGATGCGGCCGATTTTGGCAAATCAAAATGGTGTCATTTATTTTATTATGAGAACGCAAAACCGCATGTTAGGAATCAAACCTTTCAGAAGACTAAGGAGTTGAAACGGGACCCCACCCTCCAGCACACACTGTATTCTCTTGACTTCTTGGGCTCTCGGATTGCCATTTCTTTACGGTCTCTACAGAACTATTTAAATAACAGAATATTTGACTGTACATTCTAGTAGACAACTACCTGTCAACCTTCTTCTAACAAAAAAACAAAAAAAAAAAAAAACAAAAAAAAAAACACGAAGTTTCTATGAAAATGACATCAACAAGCTTGTCAAATGATGGGAAACACTAGCTAAAAACAATGTACTACATCAGTGACTCTCAATCGTGCCGTGATCCGCTTAAATAAATGGAGAATAAACTGAATATTTGTATAAACGGGAAGAGATTGCTAAGAGTTTGAAAATCGATATCACAACTGCTTTCCACCATTTGGAGAGATTTAAGTTAAAACCAAAAAAAAAAAAAAAAAAAAAAAAAAAAACTGCGGCCAATTTTGTCAAATCGAAATGAGGTCTTTTTTTTTTTTTTTTACTATGAGAACGCAAAACCGCATGTTACAAAACAAAGATTAAGGAGTTGAAATGGGACCCCACCCTCCAGCACACACCGTATTCTCTTGACTGCTTGGCCCTTTCGGATTGGCATTTGTTTACGGTCTCTACAGAAATAATATTTGACTCTGTACAATCAGTCGAAAACTACCTCAGAAACAAAAAAATACGAAGTTTCTACGAAAATGGCACCAAGAAGCCCTGTGGAACGAAGGGAGATCGTTGTTTAAGACAATGAAGACTAAGAAATTGACTAATTTTTTTTTGTATGTAAAATTTTCTTAATTTACTAATCGGGCACTAACCTTTGCACTGATTTAATATATATTACAAAAATTTCTGGTGGAAATTTTAGAACTGTCAAACTTATTTTATAATTTAAGAAAAAATTCCCACCTGCCTGTCTATTAGAAACATTCCGTGTATTTGGCACAAAAGCAAATAACAGGAATAGATCTTTTGTCTTAAGTCTACGTTAACAAAACAGGTCAATTTGTTCAATATTTAAACTTTTACACTGTTTACATGCGGACAATTGTCCTCATCTTTGTTGATATTATCAAAGTTTCGACCGTTGTGCACTCCGGTTTTCATCAGGTGTATATCCATTCGGGTAACCGACAGAAAATTAACGCAGTAGATTAAAGTGTTGGTTTGTGAATTTAGTAACAGTCATTGTGAGACGGGCAGTGTGTAATTGAATTCAGGGCGAGCAATAACTGAGCAGTACTAAAAATAAAGAACAAGACGAGATATCCCGAGACATGGCCAGTGGAACGAGAAGATTCTACCTCCATAAATTCAGTTCAGAATCCCTAGGCTAGGCAGTGTGTACTTGGACACATTGGAAATATGGGCGAGCAATATCTGAACAGTACAAAAAAATAAGAACTAGATGAGATATCCTGAGAGATAAGTAGAATGAAAATAGTATACGACCATTTACGCTGTGTGTATTTGAACTCAGTGGAGACATGGCGAGCATTAACTGAGCAGTACTAAAAGTACAAACTAAACGAAGGTAGGAAGGTACAACAATGGCAAAAATGTGATAACAACACCGAAGATGACGTTAACAGTCCACCTATCAATATTGTAAATAATGATAATTCCTCATACCAGAAATTCTGACAAAAATAATACAACAATCCTCGCTGGAAAGTTTATTTAAACCGGCACACTTGGTTTAGAAGTTGAAAAATTCCCATCGACGTGTTTATTCCAAACGGCAAAAAGAATATCTAGTATCGAGCCGTATGTAAATAATGTAGTTGTTTTTTCAGGGAATTCTATGCTAGTCTAAATATAAAATTATTCCTTCATTAAATATAGGGTGGGCTTGTACAGCAGGCACTGCAACCAGAACTTTATTTTCATATTAATGCAGATCAAGCACTTTAGACAATGACGTGTAGTGACTACGTCTCTAAAACTCATGTGTGTGTGGGGCGGGATGCTAAATGGCCTAGTACTTAGAAATGTGAGAAAGACATTTTAAATATGTAAAAAAATGAAAAACACTTCATTCAAATTAAACTAAATTTTTTATTCCACTCTTTGACTGGATGCCCTTCGGATATGGGTTCCCAGGGCCGTTGCACCCTCTGCACGGTCCAGATCAGGAAGATCTAGCTCTCACATATATTTCAAAAGTTAAACCAGTCAATTACGAAACCATGATAATGTAATTGGCTGATCTAATTGTTGAAATTTAAACGCTCTGCACGTTAATTTCTTTTTTTTCTTTTAAGTTTCTTTGTATGTGTATTGATCACTTTTTAATACAACTGTTTCCTG